CCCCTCCACCACTCCCCAGATGTTGATAGGGGCGTTAAACCCCTACCATTTTCACAGTATAACTAGATATCTACGCATGTAAACTGTGGAGACGTGCTCCACAAAGTAGGCCAAGAGTGGAGTCCGCTTACTTAAACTTAAACCAAAATCTGAGGGGCCGCTAACTTTTCTTCAGTTTACCCGGGTCTTCGGTTCAGAAGGTTTGCTAAAAAGATGAACATGAAATTGGGGATTTTATTTCCTTTCGGTTTAACGTTGTCTCCGGATAATTGACCGTGCACGGTTTGAGCAGACTCCCCTATTTGAGATGGTCATTGTACGAGGTTAGTTTGAGACGTGAGTTTCCCTGTTCTGTAAAGTCAAAAATCTTGATTTTACAGACATAGACATTTGTACATATCTACAGAAACATATTAATATTTATTGATATTTTCTATTCAACATAATAATTACCGTTGATCTCAAAGCATTTTCTACCTCGATGTAGCCAGCGGTCAAACGCAGTGACCCTGTCTGCTTCGGCCAGAGTCTTAATTAGCGCAGAGTTAATTCTTTGTTTCGGGCAAAAATTATTTTTTTTCCGTGTCTTCAAATCGCTGCCCCCGTAGTCCTTCTTTGATTTCACGGGAAGAAATTTTAATGAAACTCGCTCCGTCACTGTCGCTGATTACTTTGCATGCCTGAGTAAAGGAAACTTGTCGCTCTTTTGTCATTTGTGGGATCGTGAGTGGTGAAATCAGGCGCTCGTCAGACTAAGCTTAAACTCTAAGAAACCGACACCAATCCACCGCACGTTTCTGTGGGTGATTTCATTTGGAAATAAAAACACGAAACAACAACCACCAAAAGACCAAAAGCACACCAAAAAATGTAAACTTGCAGTTTTCAAAGACTTTCAAGCTTTGAAAATCATCCAACTTTGACAGTCATAATTTTATTTGTCGCGAACTTTTACTTCTGACAACGAGCGACCGACCTCCTTCAATCGTAAATATCTCGTTTTTCTATTCAAGACAGATGGATTTTTTCCCCCTAAAAGCATTTCAATGAACTCGCTTCAGGATGATTTACATTAAAATTTGGTCTCCATCCACACAGGGCACGGGGCTCTCGTGGCCGAGAGTTTAAGGTATTCGCCTCTCATCCAGCAGGTCCCGGGTTCGAATGCGGAAAGCGACCTAAATTTTTCTTCTCTCAAATTGTCTCCTTTCACCTCACCTCCTTTCATGCCCTCGGGCAATGTCTTGTCCACTTTCTGCCCCCCCCTCCCCCCTCACCTCCTTTGCTCCCTCCTCTGGGCTCCTAACTCTTCCTGCAGCCTTTCTACTGCTACTCCTATTAGCTCCTTCTTACTGCTGTCTTTCAGCCACACCCCTGATCTTATGGTAGGAAAGATCTAAATCTAGCCTTCTTGGAAGAGGGCGAAAAATCTTGGAGTTTCCCGTGCGCACGTTAAAGATCCCTTGGTGGTTCAAAATCAATAAGAGTAGGCGTCGGCTGCTACCCGGGCACAGTTCAAAATTTCTTACCAACTGAAAATGTTTAATGTGTCCCGCCCGCTCATAAATATGATCTTATTTGCAGTTGCGAGCTTTGTAAAACAGTTACCGGTACTAAAAAAAACAAAAAACACAGTGCATAGTGTACGTAGTAAGAGGACTTGTGTCCACTAAAATACCCCCAAGAGTGAATGTCATAGCCGAAAAAATATGTGAGGCAGCGTGGTGGAATCAGGCTCTCGTCAAAATAGTCAAAGTGAAGAAACTTGCTTTTTTTCCGCAGGTTTGTGAATTTTTATCATATTATTTTTTTTAGCTCAACACCTTTCATGTCCATTAAAGAACTCATTTCCGTGTGGATTTTTCCGAAAAACGTTGATTAAAGGCACAAAAAATGTAAATTTTCAGTTACTACGGACTCTTAAGCTGAGGAAATAACTAATCTTTGGCGGACATTTTCTCACTAATTTTACCTCTGAAAACAAGTGACCCCCACCTCCTTCTTTTGCAAATATCTCGACTTGTATTCAAGATAAATGGATATTTTGTTCACCCAAATAAAGACAAGTGAACAAGCTTTAAGATAATATCAATAACTCTACTTGCCCCAAAATTGACGAGAGCCTGATTCCACCACACTGCCTCACACATTGTTATAAGACATCGATTCCAGCAGAGTAAAAATCCTAGGATGTCTTATAAGGCGCTTACATTCCTTGTTTCATGCAGAAGACCTGAGTTCCATTTCAAGGGGAGAAATGTATATCGAGTATTTGATTCTGAATCGGTTCTTCTGCTGGGATGTTGTATCCATCTCAGCACTGATTGGCCCTGGCAGGCAAGATCAGAAGTTCGCCCCCTATATAGGCTTAATATAAGTTGAGTCGATTTTAAAACTAATTACATTGTGCTTTGTTTTGGGTTTTTTTGTTTTTTTTTTTGTTTGGTTTTGTTTTGTTGTTTTGTTGTTTTTTGTTTGTTTGTTTGGTGTTGTTGTTTTGTTTTGTTGTTGTTGTTGTTGTTTTGTTGTTGTTTTTTTGGGGGGGTCGCATATATCAGGCCTATAAAAACGCGGCTTACCTGGTACATTAAAAGACAACAAAACAAAACAAAAAACAAACCCACATTGATTTTCATGCGAGCGAACTTTCATTTGATCACCCTCTTTACAACACACCTAATGCCACCCCTTTGCAATAAGCCTGAAAAGTATTCTACATGTAATTCGGGAACCTACAACAGTCACATGTACTTACTATGACCATAACAGAGGTTAAAAATAGTACTAGATTTCTATTGCTAACCTCTTTGTAGCTCCCCGAAAATTCTGAAGAGCAAATATTAAACAAAGATGAGGTATCGTAATGAAATCAGGCTCTCGTCTAAATAATGACATCAAAGAAACATTTACGGCCGTTGAGCAATTTTTCTTCGATCAATTTGTATGTTTGTTTATTTTGTGGGTTTTTCTTTGTTTTTTTTGTTTTTTTGTTGTTGTTGTTTTTAGTCCTTTTCATGGCTCATTTCTGTGGGTGGTTTGATTGAAAAGGAGTTAATCAAAAGCACAAAAAAGTAAATTTGCTGTTTCCAAAGACTTTCAAGCTTAGAATTCACACTGCAAACTTTGGCAGTCATTTTCTCTCTAACTTTATTTCTGACACAAAACAACCCCCCACTTCCATCAATCGCAAATATTTCGTGTTCTATTAAAAAAAGATTCAGATGGATAAAACTTTTTTTTAAACCGAAAGTGAATTCGCTGCAAGAAATCCTACTTATAATTACTCCAAATGTCTTAAAATTGCCGAGCGACTCATTCTACCGTGCCGTGACTCAAATTCTGCTGAAATAGGCCAAGGAACAAGATGGAGCAGAAGAGAGCGGACAATGACGTGACAACGGCTACTGACACCAACCATCAGCTCTGAAAAGGCTTTATGTGGAACAGCTGAAGGTATGCAATGAAAACGAATAATGCCCTGTTCTCAAACAGAATATCGCCGTTCGTTTCTCTTTATCCGAGACCAGGCAAGGAGAAAAAAAAAGTGGGTCAAAAATTTGTTAACGGTCCTGAAGGAGGGGAAATAACTCTGCCTGACCAGACAGTCATTGTTTTTATTTCTCTCCCCAGCCACTGAATCACTGAACTTCGTGCAGTGAATCACATCGAGATATTTTTCTCAGGAACAAACGGGTGTACTTTGTAAATCATCAACAGACATCAAAGACCAAGCCTTGATACACTTTCGTAAGGTAACGTTACTAAGATTTTGTACAGTCATACTGAATGCATCAATATTTCTTGCATACATTAAGGACCAATTTTTGTCCTCTGCCGCCAGCTTGGGCCCTCCACAACAGTAGTCCACCTCCTTCACTCCACTCCACTCCACTCCTCTCCACTCCTCTCCACAAACAACACTCAAGTCTAACTACCTGAGGCTGAAGCCTGGTGGAAGCCAGAAACCAAAACTTCCATGAGTGAAAGAGAAAGTAATCTGGAAAGAATGTCTGATAAATTTTCAGCTTGCAGACTGAGAAGAGAAGTAGGCTAACGGCTAACTGTACTACTTGACCCTCCCACTAAGAGATGGGACACAGAGTGGAGAGAGTGATCATATATTATTGGTGGAGTTACAGTTAGAGTTTTAGAATTTGTTATTTTAACATTGATTTAATTGCAGCACAATTGAATTTGAATCATTGGGATGAATTCCTAAGCGACCACCATGAATCAGAGTAGAATAGAGGGTTGGGGTAGGGTAAGGGGGTGTGGGGAAGGGGTTGTAAAGGTTTGGTTAGGGTTTGGGGTAAGGGTAAGGGTAGAGTTAGGTCTCTTCTTTATTGTATTTATTGGGGTGGTCGCTCGTTACGGAAGTCCTTCCGAATCATTACATTATAGGGTGAGCAGTGATTGACCTCCCTCACTCTACATTTTTCCTCTTTGTATTTTATTTTTAATTTACATTTTTACTGCTGGTCACAATGATGCAAGATCTAATATATATAGAATCTGACATCTGATCTAGATTCTAGGTCTTGATCTAGATGTCTGCCAGGGTCAGAGCTGTGGAAAAGAAAACATTTTCAGCGACCTTTTTGGGTGGGAGAGTGCAGTGAAATTAAAGTGTGTTGTCCCACATCCTCAATCTTCTTTCTGCACCTCTACTTTTATGTCATAATCTTTTTCCCTGGCCTGGTTTTGTGACTTTTCAAAGTTTTTAGCCTGGTAATTATTGTATTCTTTCTATTCCTTTTTAATGAATGATAATTTGATTATATCTCAAGGAAATACATTTTAGCCCTAGTTTAATTTTGCTGATCTTGTCTCTATCCGTAGGCCTAGAGATTGAAATTTATCTCTATCTATTTTCGTACGAACAATTTTGCTACTACAAAACGCAACGTGACCATTTTTTGTGTTTTGCAAAAGAAAAAAAAAAGATTTCTGTTCTTCACCCATGTACGGTAGGCCTACTGAAGAATATTTACTGAGCAACTTTGCTTTTAGAGAGCTCCATATAAACATGATGTAAGACAAGATATATTTGCATCATGAAATCTTTTTCAGGGGGATGATGCTAATTTTGCTTTTTGGTAACATTCATTACATTGTGACAGGTTTCCATACTTTATTGGTCTCGTTGTTTTTGATTGAAACAGTAATTTTTTCTTATAATTTTATCATCTTTTCGCGGATTATTGTTGGTTTTGATGAGCAATGTGATGTATGCTGGACATTGTTGTGAGTCAAAACTTAATTGATAAAGGGAGCATCAATGTATGTACAGAGGTAAAGCTGGAACACCATGTAATTAACAGTAGTTTGTTAATAGAAAGAAAAAAGTCTCGCTTTAATAAGATAGTTTTTTTTTCATGTGACATTTGTTCACAACCAGTGTAATTGTTTGAAATTCTATTTTTGAAAGTTTGAGAATATATCTTTTATCCCATTCAGGGTTGTCCTCGTCTTTACCAGCATCTAATTCAGAAAGATCTTCAAAATAATAAATAACGCCCTGAGTAGTAAACACTGTTTTCCTTACGCGCGTTTTGTCTGAGGCGGGCCGGTTTGGGGATAGGGTCTTGCTCACCGGTGTACCGTTGGCAAGGCATACGGGCAATGTTACGCACCACCGGTGTGCTAATGGTATGGGCTCAAAGGGTTGATCTGCTCAAATGTTTCGTAGTCATGTATTTGAATCTGTGCCCATCTCCATTGCCAGTCGCGACCTCAGTGCTTTCTTGTCGTGTCTCCTTTTTTGATAACAGTAAAAACAGTTCATGATAACAAAGAGTGAGCTTAAGAAGAAGTCACACTTTGACAATTTAAAAAAACTGGAGATACGACAAGAAAGCACTGAGGTCGCTGGTTCTTGCTCCATTCTTTCTTGCTTTACTGTGGGTGATTGGAGGGTGTCTTTTATAGGTTCTTGCTTCATTTCTTTCCCTTTGTGTTCTGTCTGCCTGTCATTTTTTTCCCCAACACTCTGTTGATTGTGCTGATGTGCTTCTCTTTACTTACTCAAACAAACAAATACTTTTATAGTCTTTATAAAAGGGAATTAGTGCATTAGCTGTTAATGTTGTCCGACCATACAAGTCCTGTAGGTCTATTAATATTATTATTAGATTTTTTTTTTCTACAACATGATGTAGTCCGTTTCTGGCACAACATGAAATGTTATCCTCACCTAAGATCTGATTTAAAGAAATCTGCCCTTCGAAAGAAACTGAAAGACAGTACTTTTTTTTTTGGGTTATAATGTAAAAGTTGTAAAAAATATTTTTTATATTTTTTAGAATGTTGTACTTTAGACAGTTTCACTAACTACACCATTTTAGGTTTGTCAAGGCAGACATTTTGAGTCATTTTTCTGGATAAAAATGATTATTGTCAATAATTTTTTTCTCTTCTTGATTTCAGGTCATTTTTAGTCAAGAATCAGAAACGGGTTAAGGATGACGTGGAGCCATTGCAGGAATTGAAGCGATGCCCTTTGGTGGCACCCCCACTAGTGGATGGTGTCAATCTGTAATTGAATGATGCACGGTCCCATTGAATGGTCTTCAGAAGTGGTGCCATCAACCAGTCCATGCTTAGAATAAATAGACAATGGCTGTTGATCAAAATCTGGCCATGGGTCCCTTACAAAGGAATAGTGAAATTCTTGATGAGTTGATTCAGAGTAGAGAGGATGATGAGGTTGCTCTTTGCTCGGAGCTGATTAACGTCGGCAGTGCAAGTACGATGAATTCATCTCAGTATCAAGAGTTTGTGAACCCTTTGGCAGAACAACATGATTCCAAGGAGGTGACTTTGAACCAGCTCCGGACAAACGCTGGTGGCCAGCCCCATGCGTTCGGCTCCGGTCAGGAAGTCGGTGACGCATTGTCTCCGTACGTTGAGGTCGAGACTGACGATTTGGAACCGCGACCAAGCTCCTCCGTGTCAGGAGACGAGTTACAGACCAGTCCTTCCTTCGTATTTGTCGCAAAGCGGGCCACGCGGTTCGGGCTTGGGACAAGCAGTTCGGATGCTTTTTTTGATAGAAGCGACTTGGATAATGAGGAAAGTGAACATTTTGTGTTTGACGATGGAATGTCCGACGATCCACACGAGGAGCAATCTCAGATAACGTTTACCGCTCCCTTGATCACCGACGACAGGGAGCTCAAGGGTTTTCATGACAATGCAGTGCTCTCCGATTCTACTGCAGACGAGGGCCACAATAAAATGCAATTTTTATCAGAGCCAGATGACAATGATGTGACTCTTAAAGAAGACAGTTCCGAATCTTTAGAGCTAAACGGTGCCATTGAAACTAAGCGGGCCAAATCACCACTTTTAACCAGTCTGATGAGACCGGGAAAGAACCATTCGAATAAGATTCACACATCGAAGTTTCCAGGGAAGGACAGTGAGAAGCATCCCATTCTGGACCCATCCCTGTCCAAGTCGGAGGAGTCATCCGATGAAGACTCTGCACTGATCAACGACTCGGAGGACACAGAGCACATCTTTTCTCCCAGCAATCTCTCGGAAGGTAAGCCTTTTTGGTAATTAATTGTAATACCACTACATCACTACATGATTTAACACTTTGCAGTCACTTGGCCGGTTAAAATGATCCATTCCAGTCACCTGGCTCAGTCGCCTGGGAAGTCCGTTGCAGTCACTCTCCTGGCTGGGTGACCGGATGGTGAGGTATTTTGTACTGCTGGCTGTGTGACTGCAAAGTGTTAATTGTACACAACATGATTTAAAGTTCACATATGTTAATTTCTCTGAACTGGCACAGAGTATTGTGATTTTCACTGATTCCCTATCACAGTCTTGCAAGCAGTAGAAAATAATCTTCATCATTCATGTGAACCAAGATTTGACTCATATAATACTGTTTGGCTCCCATTATCCGATACCATTCTGTGGCATCAACCAACGTGGTGATGCAGTGGGTCCCCGGACACTCAAACATACCTGGAAATGACAGAGCAGACACACTTACCAAACGGGGATCTAGACAGAAACAACCCAACATTCAAACTTCATACAACACTGCAAAGCAAATCATTAAAAGCAACAACAAACAAGATTGGATGAACAGATGGGCCTTGGGAAAGACCGGCAGAGCAGTTTTTAAACATATGGCTACAACAAAACGAAATAACAATATCAACCACCTACAGAAAAAGAAACAGATCACGGTCTTCCGCCTACGAACAGGACATGTACATTTCTCCCTCCGAGACCTACCTAACATTGACAACACACTCTATGGAACATTACAGCAACTGCAGCAAACCTGCACTTATCACTACATGGCATTGGACAGAAGGGCTAGAGCCCAGCGGTTGCTGGATCAGTAACAACAACAACAACTGAACTGACTTTTTGCTGTGATTATTATTCCCAAGTTACCAAGATTACTCTTTCATGGAAACAAAACCTTGCTTCCTTTTTTTTTTAGCAATGGTGCCAAATTAACATATTGAATTTGTGTGGTTGTTTTCAAGAGCTACTCCTGACCGTTACCCCATCTTATGCATTGTGTCATCTTTGGGTTGTTTGTCTTTTCAATGCATATTTATATATATATAAAACTTCCCCTGTTCATAAAACTTCCCCTGTTGAAAAGCTTTTGGTGCACTTTCTTCCCTGTTTTCGTTCTTTGTTTACGAGTTCCCAAGATTTGTGACCTTTACTCCATAGTCCATGTTTTGACCCTCTTGAGAACCACTTTAGCTGCTCCTGTGAGATAAGGTAGGCAGGTCTGATAAAGTCTTTATTTTCTCGCTTGCACATTCTGTTCTTTAAGGCATCATCATCTTCATTGCCTTTCTTCCCCTAGATCAGGATAGAGGCCATGAACAAACACTTTTCACCTTTCGCTAAGTTCTAAAGCATGCAGGTTAATCAAACTGAGCACCTCCAGAATCAGGCATGCTGCTATAGATTTGTATAAAAAAGAGTCCCTGCATTACTGTACTTGGCAACAACTTATGAATATGTTGTTGTTATTATCTGATATATATGGATATTACTTGTTTGTTGAATTCCCCACTATTCTGCTAACAAAGGTCTTTAAGACTCTTGCCTTCGCTAATGGTTGGGCGCTTCAGTGGCTAAGTGAGTAGTGGGTTTAGACTCACGTAATGTCAAGCAAGTGTCGGTGACACGGGGATCAGATGGGTGGTCACAGGGGTGTGTCCTTGAGCAAGACACGACAACCCTAGCTCAAAATACAGGGCGCTGCACAGTGGCGACCGACAGTGGCATTGTTGTAAACTGTTCTGTATTCGTGTATATTGTGTATGTGTATGTGTTTATTAATGTATTTATTCATTTAAATTGTAATTATTTATTTATGTATGTAAATATATGTTTGCCATTATAAACCAAAGTGCCCTTCCAGGACAAATAAAAGCGTAATTTATTTTATTATAATTTTTTAAAAAAAGTTTTTCCTTTTTATGGGAATGGGGAAAACTTGATGTTTACATTTTTCAGTGGATTTTTTAATGGGGATTTTTTTGTGGGTGGTAGTCTGGTGGAGTTATTTATTTGTGAAAGAGAAGCTCATTGACTTGACTGAGAAGTCGTTTAGTTTGGAGGGAAAGAAATTTAAAAAATAAAATGTAGTGAGACAGACGCATAGAGAGACAATTTAGTAAAGAATGATATAGTAAAACGAAGTGAGCTTTGACCTAGTTTTTGCTCACTGGTGGAGGAGGATAAGTAAACAGAAGCTTCTGTTGAATTGACCTGCTGCCTCACTTAAGACGGGGGCATAAATTACCTGAAACGCTTTTTATACTTTTTGACAGTCTCTGCTGTGTACTTGTGTATGTAAATGAACTGCCTGTTACCCCCATCCCCTCTGGAAGGGGGGGGGGGTGGTTTTCATTCTTTTTATACTGTATACATTATACATTATTCATTCTGACTGGCAATGACTGTGATATTACAGCTTTGGTGTACTATTATAAAATCCTCTTTCTGCTATTCGCTACTCATGATGCAGCAATAAATACACAAGATGAACCTGTTTTTCTCTGAACTTTAATTCTTTGAAAAGGGCTTCATCATCTGTTGTCATTGCTGCCTTGTATTGACCAATCATACCACCATCTTGTCTGTAGCATTTTCAAAGTTATATATAAAATATGTCCTAAAATTTGTCCCTGATCATTTGCTTTTTATGGCTGTGTCGATATCTCCAATCCCAGCTGTCTTGAACACTTTATTTTTTGTGACAAGTTCATTATAAATTGAATTGCGTTTTGTTGCAAGTGCCACGAAGCTGACTACAAAAATGACTAAAATGAAATTGCAGTCAATGTTATTTTTCGGGCGGCCGGACATCATAAGAGATTTACACGGTATTATAATATTATGTTTCTGTTAAGATTAGTTTTCCCCTTGTACTAGAATTGTGTAGTTTAGTAAAAGCAACAAGAAAGGGGCCAGTGTTTTGCCCATTGTGATATTTCCCATCTGTTTAGCTTGTCCAGTGCACAACTCCAACCTTCACGGACACGGGGTGTGCAACATCTGGTTTGTGATGGAACATCATATGTACATTTTATTTACTTACCTCTGACTTTTGCAATAATAATATCAAATAAATTAAATTTTAATTTTCATCTCCTGTTTTTACAATGTTTCATAGCAATTTTTGATGTAAATTGATGAAATTACACTCAGTAAAATCTATTTCATTCCTCAGGGGAATACTGGATTTTTATTTGCCTCAGTTGTTTGTTTGTAGCTTTTATTGATGTTGTTTCTCTAACTTTTTTTGTCCGTGACTTTGAAGTTGTCTGTGACTAATGACTTTTAAGTTGTCTGTGACTGGTTAGAACTGACATTCTTGTTTGTGTCATTTCTATGATTGTCTTTTTGAACTGTTGGATATTACATACTTTCTTTTTTTTCTTACATAGATAAATATCTTGTGGGTTTAAGAAATGCCAGAATTTGTTGTGCAGAGGACGGATAAGGAATAACAGTAATATATTATATATATATATATATATATATAATATATAAAATAATAATAATAATAATAATAATATATCATTGCATGCTTGTGTGAGTGCGTACCTGCATGATTGCCTGAACTTTCGTTTGATTTACTTTGACTTAATGTTTTCTCCCCAGACACAGAAAACCAAGCCGTCTGCAGCAAATATTCTCAGCTGTCAGAGGATGGTTCATTCCCCTCGTCTCCGGTGAAATCTCCGACGTCTGACAGTGAGACAGACACGGGGAAAGATGCTGGGGACACGGCCAAGATTGTCTTTGACCACCCGCTAGATCTGGGCGTGGCTTTCTCGGAGTACGTCGACATTGACAGTTTTCAGGCGTCTCTTGGGAAAAGGACCCCTCGGACAGGTTTGTGTTTGGTTTGGTATTTTTGGTCATCTTCATGTATTTATTACCAAGTCTCTCGAAATAGTTGCTGTTTTTTCTTTGGTAATCTTCATGTATTTATTACCAAATATCTTGAAATACTTGGTGTTTTTTAGTAGGTGATCTTTATGTATTCATCACCCAGTCTCTCGAAACAGTAGGTGTTTTTGTTTTGTTGTTTTTCGTTGCTGAAGTGAATTGAGTGTCATGTCAGACATTTCGTATATGGGACCCAATAAAGCCAGAGAACAGTTTTATCTCTAAGACTGTCTGGACGGGCAGTTGGCAGGTGCTCTGGTGTGGTTTGCTCCTTCTTTCTGATCAAACATCTAGTGTTGTCATCTCCCCGCCTTTCTTTTTGGTGTTTGTTACTCTCTTGTAACACCTCTAATCTTCGGCATTTGATTGACCTAATTGAGTTGCAAGTGCCATAAAACTCTTACTAGAACAAACTAAACAAAGACCTTTGGGTAAAATCACATCAAATTCTCCTCCTGCCAAGGAGACAGTGGTGGATGTCAATATGTAATGTTCTATATTCTATGGTTGACTCATTTAAAAACTAAGCACAAATACCTGACTGAGACTTTGTTTGAACACTTTTTGACAGGAAGTAGGCCAAAGTCCCCGACTGGATTTTTGCCCGTGCTGTTTTTATTATCTTACCTACCGTAGATAGCATTATGTCGAAATAGCGTAAAAGTTGACAGTTTAAATGTTTTGAGTCATTTGCCACATTTTGCGTTGACCTTTTGAGATTGGCCCATACATAGGGCGTACCAGCGAACTTTATGTATAGGGAGTTATAGTGGGTGGTTGGCGGGTGCCCTAGTGTGGTTCACTCCTTCTTTCCTATTAAACGTCTATTGTCCTTATCTCCCCTGCTTTTTTTCTTTGTGTAGTTCTCTAATGACACCTCTATGCTTCTGCACTTATCTGACCTGATTGTGGTGCGTGCAAATGCTGTAAATATGCAAAATGTGTGTGAGAAACAGGAAGTGTTGTGAACAATCCCATTTTCTGCGTGATTAAGTTTTCTAGTATTTTATATTTATTTATGAAGAAACGTTTTTTTAATCTAGTGTCAATTATTGTGAAAAAATATTATAGTGTTAGGGCAAATTAATACAAACTGCTGTGCAAAGTATGGGCAAAGATGGTGTACCCTACAGTATTTTTTGTATGGGTGACATTGATTTGCCCGTTAAAGAGGTATTTGAGGATAAGTTGCGAAACAAATTTTTTGACCTCACCATAATTTTTATGTACTGTGTAGTTTCTTTTTTCTCTTTTGTGTCGCGGGTGATTGAGAGAACGTTGGTGGAGGGTCCTTCTTCTCTTCTTCTCCTGTGTTGTTTCTGTCTGTCTAGCTTTATCCCTGCACTCTACGACCGTTATTGTGTCAATGTGCTTCCTCCCTCTCCCCCCCCCCCCCCCTTTACTAAATCAAACAAGCAATGGTTTTTTTTCCATGTGGTTTCAGAGGAAGGCTATGGAGGCAAGTCAGAGGAACATCTGCTTGTCCTGCTCAAGTCGAATTCTCTGAAGAATTTGAAGCGATATTTGCGCAAATCGTACTCATCCCCGGAGAGCAACGCCAGACGCAAGCTGTGGGAGAACTTGTGCGTGCATCTCCTGAAGGCGGGAGGCAGTTTGTACAACAGTGTGTCGGCCGAGCTGTACCAAGGACTACGTAAGTTGGAAAGTAGCGAATCCTGCAGGACTGTTCTTTGTGTTTCTGAACGTGTTTATGATAATTTCTGCTTCTTCGTGGGTGTGTTTTCTTGTTTATATACAGTGGAAAACTGTCTAAGATGGTCGTCAATTGTTGAGAAGAAAAGTATTTGTTTTGAAACAAGTGTACGTCTTACACAGACAAGTGTACATCTTATACAGACAAGTGTACGTCTTATACAGACAAGTGTATGTCTTACACAGACAAGTGTATGTCTTATACAGACAAGTGGACGTCTTATACAGACAAGTGTATGTCTTATACAGACAAGTGTACGTCTTATACAGACAAGTGTACGTCTTACACAGACAAGTGTATGTCTTATACAGACAAGTGTACGTCTTATACAGACAAGTGGACGTCTTACACAGACAAGTGTATGTCTTATACAGACAAGTGGACGTCTTATACAGACAAGTGTATGTCTTATACAGACAAGTGTACGTCTTATACAGACAAGTGTATGTCTTATACAGACAAGTGTATGTCTTATACAGACAAGTGTATGTCTTATACAGACAAGTGTACGTCTTATACAGACAAGTGGACGTCTTATACAGACAAGTGTACGTCTTATACAGACAAGTGTACGTCTTATACAGACAAGTGTACGTCTTATACAGACAAGTGTATGTCTTATACAGACAAGTGTATGTCTTATACAGACAAGTGTACGTCTTACACAGACAAGTGTACGTCTTATACAGACAAGTGTATGTCTTACACAGACAAGTGTATGTCTTACACAATGTCTTTATGGTGTATGTCTTACACAGGTCTTACACAAACAAGTGTACGTCTTTCACAGTGTCTTTAGGTTGTAAAAGATACTCAAGGGAGAGATCAGGCTTCCGATTTAACAACAACAAAAATTTGGTTCCAAAACGGAAAAAAAGCGGGTTGTTGGCGGGTGCTCTGGTGTGGTTTGCTCCTTCTTTCCTATCAAACATCTATCGTCCTTATCTCCCCTTCTTCTTTTTTATGTTTGTTACTCTCTTGTAACACCTATTCTTCTGGCACTCATATGACCTTATGCAGTTGCGAGTGCCGTAAAACCTGTACTAAAACTTCTAAAAAAAAGAACCAAAAAAAAGGCATCTTGCCAGCTGACACACATACAAACGGTATTTCTGTGCTTTTTGTTGCCAGCGGAGGAGGACTACCCGCTGCCCAGCTTCGTGGACCAGCAGCATCTGCTGCACTACCACCTGACAGCCGCCGGTCGCAAGACGCTCAAGACAATCCTGGACGTGATCAGCTCGCTCAGTCCCGACATCGTGTTCTGCCCGCTGCTCTACCCGATGGCCTCTCTCTTCCTCCACTACTGCGACGCCGAGAGCTGCTGCAACTGCATGCAGGCCTTGCTGCGCAGCACCGCGCCCACCTACCTGACCCAGACCAGAACCGCGGCCGACGCCACAAAGTTTGTTTTACGCGATTTGGCCAAAAAATACACAGTGAGTCGTTTTTTAAAAATACCCTTTTGTTGGATTTATCTCTTTAAACCCTGGATTTTTTCCACCGTTTCCCAGAGTTTTTTCTGCAGTCACCTAAACCTGGTGCACTATGTCTCGTTATAGCCCCAAAAGTTTGCCTCCAACTTCTAAATGGCTGAAACAAAGGCATTATTATAATATTATTATATATTTTTTAAAAATTATTATTATTGTTATTATTATTATTATTATTATTATTTTTATATCGTCCTGTATATTTTAGTGTACTTTGATATGTCCCAGAATTATGCATTTGGTATTATTTTGAACAAGTCTAAGCAAACTACGGTTTGTTTTTTTTTGTCTCCAGAAAAAGGCTTACGACTTAGTGAGCAGGAGCTCCAACAATGTGGAGAGCGTGTATGAGAACTGGGAGGCCTGGATATTTCGGGACTTACCCTTCCAGTATTTGGTAAGGAATTGTAGCTCCTTGGTTTGTTTCTGATGTCAGTGTGGTGAAAATCATCATGTTGCTTACTCTTTCTCTTTGTCATGAATGATCGCTGCAGTGTTTATTTACCTCTCTTTCACTCCAGCTGTCATATTTTTAAACACAAATTTAAAAAAAAAAAGAAAAAGAAAAGTATATGATTTTGTACTGAAGTGCTGACAGTATCATTTCATGTAGTTAGACACATGTTTTTAGTTCATTAATGTGTTAAAAGCCTAATGGATATATATATATTTGTGATATGTAAAGATTTTAACCTTTTTAATGATATAATTTAATAGATTGCGTTTGTTAGTGCAAATTCCTACTCAACAGCAAGCTCTATGCGCTTCACAATCTATACTATTACTCCAACAGACCTGATAGCATTCTGAAACAACCTCAACTACCTAAGAAGCATACAGTGCAAGCTGCCATTTTATAGGCGTTAGAACACTACCTTCTTCTATTCATCCTGAGTGCCTATGGAGGTTTAGAATTGGTCGCTTTTAAGGACAACCTAGATTTCGGGGGTTTCCAGAAATCTTGACCTACACCAAAAATAAGCATTGCCTTACCTATAGGGGAAGTTTGGTTTCATTGGTGTGTATATTTGTTTGGCTTTAGAGAAAACTCTCCTTGTTTTTTTAAAGAAACTGAACAAAGGGCAAAAACTTTACCTTCAATTTTCTCAAAACAGCATTTTTCGGGATAGCCCCCTTGTGCTTAAACGCGACCTATTGTGAGTGCGTGTGTCCCCAGGTGTGTGTGGTGGACAGCTACCTCCTAGAGGGCTACAAGGTCCTCTACCGCATCGCTCTGGCCATTGTCCAGCTCTACACCAAAGACGTGGGTACGTTTGTGTGTCCTCAGTTGTTGTATGTGTGTCTTTCTTGCTGGCAGCGAAGCTGCAGGCTTTGCGTTAGCTCAGTTGGTATTATGTTGGATATGAAGCAGATGGCCTTGGTTTGACTTCTAAATTAGGTGCTCTTGAACTCGGGTCGTTTTGTGGAGTTTTCAAAGCTCTTATTCAGTTTTTAGTTTAGTTTTAGTAGAGGTTTTACGCTGCTCGCAAATGCATAAGGTCATATGAGCGCCAGGAGATTAGAGGTGTTGTTTTTTTTATCAGCACCCAAAATATTTGAATGAATTTCAAATTATTATGGTAAAAACCAAAGTAACGAACTACTACCCCCCCCCCACCCCCCGAACCCAATCAGTTTGATAGAATGTGAAGGATCTTCATTTCTGAGTCGTATTTTTCTTTCTACCGGAACAGCCCGGAAAGGAGGTCAGCAGTCGCCCGTGACCAACGTTTCGGCGGCCATCTCCAGGTTCTGTAGGAATCTTCCGGATGACTCTAGAAAACTGCTCAAAGTAAGTTGCTTTTTTTAATTTTAAAATTTTGTTGTTGTTCTCTCTGCATTGTTACATATGCGTATGCACAGTTAGTTAGTTTGGTTTTTATCAGGTAGATTGTTGGTTTGATGATTTTGTGTGGTCTGCTTTTTCTACGTCTTTTCAGTTAGGATGTAATTGTAATCTGTTCAGGGCAGATTATAATAATAATGTATAACATTTATATAGCGCATTTCCAAAAAAGTAGCTCAATGCGCTTTAGAAATCACCTGTCATAATCCAAAGAAATGGTGAAAAAATGCACAGAGCTGTTTCAGCAGCCTGTTAGACTCTTAAACACAACACACTAATCACACTGATTACCGTGTTCGCTTGCGCTTGTTGCTACAGACGTGTTTGACTGCTGCCTTTAGATAAAACTACGTAGGAGGTTGTCACTTTTTCTATAAAAACATTACTTTTGTGTTTTATTCCCTTGAGAACATTAAAATTGAGTCGATAGTGCCGTAAAACACCTACTCAGTCAATCAATCAACTTTGAGAACATTGATGATGCATTTGAAAAACGTAAAAGTTTCTCTTTCTACTTCACCTCAGTGGGCAGTTGATAGTTTCTCTACTGTGACCTGTACCTTCTGTTTCTTTTCATGTCAAATATAATCTTCAAATTTTGCTCTGTGTAACCGCTGTAGGTGGATGGTTGGCGGGTGCTCTGGTGTAGCTTGCTCCTTCTTTCCCTATCAAACATCTGTCATCCTAACCTCTTTTCCTTCTTTTCTTCATATATTGCTCTATAGTAACACCTCTAATAATCTTTGGCACTTGTTTGGCCTATTTGTGTTGCAAGTGCCATAAAACTCTTTTCAACTACAAAAAAATGGTTGTAAAGTGCAGAGAGAAAGCTGTAGAGCCTGGATATGCACTATATTATTTATTATTATTACTATTATTATTATTATTATTATTATCATTATTGTTATTATTATTAATATTGTTATTATTATATTGTTATTATTATTATGTTTAGAAAAGAAAATAGACGAAAAAGAAAAACCTGCTGTCCATGCTATCTGGTCGTAAACTCGGTATAGTAATGTGACGACTTTGGCTTTGCAGGAAGCGTTTGGCATCAAGCGACTGACGCGCCGGGAAATCGGCAAGCTCCAGAACAACTACGAGCGGTTCCTCAAGGTCCAATCAGAGTCGGAGGAGGGACTGCCCCGCGTCACATCGCGGCTCAGCATGGGCCAGGCCGACACGAGCAAGTGCACCTTTAGCGGGCCCGTCGTTTTGGACCGGGCGGACAATTCCATTCTCACAAATGAAATGGTATTGTGTCTTTCAGTGTCTCTTTCAGTGTCTTTCTGTGCATCTTTCTGTCGTTGTTTTGTGTTGGTTATTGGGGGGGGGGGGTGTCTTCAATGGGTTTTGTTCCTTCTATTGTCACAGTTAGAACACAAATACTTTTTAACCCTATCCGTACGCCCTGGGGTCATTTTGTATCCCGGGGGTTGTATTCTTCACATTTTACAATACTTCTAGTACGAAGATCTCTTTGAAACTTTCAGTATTTCTCGAAAAGTCATTTTGACAGACTGCTGTGCAAAGCGTACGGATCGGATTAATGAGTAAATTTCCTCTTTAGAAAGTGGAGTTCTCTACGTCGTATGGATACGATTATAAAACACGACGTACGGATAGGGTTGAGTGGTGGCACAGAGCTCTCTACGTCGTATGGATACGATTATAAAACACGACGTACGGATAGGGTTGAGTCACTTTTTTCCCAAGCTTCTAGATTTTGGTGCTGTAAACTGACCATTCAATGTTCTGTAGTGACAATACAGCAGTGTTTTGTTTGTCTTACTGGAAATCTACATCTTGGGATGTTTTTGTTTTTGCTCAGTTCATGAGGCTGATTCAGATGAATACTGTTTATGGCGCTCATATGACCTTATGCAGTTGCGAGCGCCGTAAAACCCTCTACTATAAAAAAAAAAAAAGAATACTGTTTGTGGTGATAGGCGGGTGCTCTTGTGTGGTCTGCTCCTTCTTTCCTACCAAATATCTATCATCCTTATTTTTCCTCTTTTTTTTTGTTTTTGATATGTTATTCTTTCATAACGCCTCTAATCTTCAGCACTTCTATGAACTGATAGTGTTGCTATTGCTGTAAAAGTATTACTAAAACTTTTCAAAAAGAAAGTTCATAAGGCTGATTCAGGCAAATACTGTTTGTGGTGACTGGCAGATGCTCTTGTGTGGTCTGCTTCTTCTTTCCTATCAAATATCTATCATCCTTTTTTCTCCTCTTTTTTTTCTTTGGTATGTTATTCTCTTGTCGCGCCTCAAATCTTCAGTTCTTATATGAACTGATAGTGTTGCTATTGCTCTAAAAATATTACTAAAACTTTTTTTTTTTAAATTGTTAGTATTACTTCCTTCCTGCCTGATGTTCAAATGATTACTCCCTCCAGACGTTTAATTAGGAGGCCCCGCCTCTTAAATAACCTAATAGTGTTGATAGGGGCGTTAAACTCATACCATTTCACCATTTTTATTTCACTCCCTCCCTGTCTTTGTTTCCTCCTGACAGCTGCACAAAATCTGGGGCTGGGTGCCGCGGCGTCTGACCTTGAAGCGTCTGACCCAGCTGTACACATCGGAGGAGCACGGCTTCTCGCTGACCACCATGTACGCCCGCACCGAGATGTACGAGCCTGTCCTCATGGTCATCAAGGCCGCCACTGACGAGGTAAATCTCTATTGTCTTTTTCTTTAGGTCAGCCACCACCGGTGAACTATGACCGTGGGTGGTTGGCGGGTACTCTGGTGTGGTTTGCTTCTTCTTCTTCCCTATTAAACATCCGTCGTTCTTATCTCCCCTCCTCCTATTTTGTGTTTGTTACTCTCTTGTAACACCTCTAATCTTCAGCATTTATATGACCTTATTGTGTGCAAGTGCTGTAAAACACCCCCCCCCCAAAAAAAACAACAACCAAAAAAACACTTCTGTCTTTTGTTTAGGTCAGCCACCGGCGAACTATGACCCATGGGGCAGGTTAATTTTTTTGTGTTTCTGTCTTATTATTTAATGTGTAATTGTACAGTATGTGTGCATCTAATCGTCTTTTACGTATACATCCAATGTCTTCTACGTGTATGTCCAAGTGTCCCGTTTGTGGACATCCAGTTGTCCTTTACACATATGTCTGACTGTCTTTTACTTATGTACATCCAATATCCTTTACTTGTATGTCCAGTTATCATTTATGTGCGTGTCCAGTTATCATTTATGTGTGTGTCGAGTTATCCTTTATATTGTGTCCTTTGTTTGTAAATCCAATTGCCTGTTATTTGTTCATCCAATTATTATTTACGTGTATGTCCAATTTTTCTTTGTGTGTACGCCCAGTTGTCTTGTACTTTGTACGTGTAATCTCACTGTTCTGTATGTGTATCTCACTGTTCTGTACGTGTACAAGGCTTCCCCTGTACCTCCAGGATCCGCACCCACACTGGCCGTCTTCGGACAATGACAGTTACTGCGTATGTCACTCATTTTGATAACGAGTTCCTGCTCACCTCTCACCCATTATTTTTCTGGTTTGTTTTTGTGTTTGAAATAATGTAATAAATTTGGAGGTGGGAAGGGTGGGGGATGGTTGGCGGGTGCTCTGGTGTGGTTTACTTCTTCTTTCCTATCAAACATCTATCGTCCTTATCTCCTCTTCTTCTTTTTTATGTTTGTTACTCTCTTGTAACACCTCTAATCTTCTGGCGCTCATATGACCTTATGCAGTTGCGAGCGCTGTAAAACCTCTACTAAAACTAGAACTAAAGCTTTAGTCAAAGCAACAGCTGCAGCAATTGTGGGGAAACTCTTTGAACCGGACCGTTGGTTTTTTTAACTCCCTCATGTGATTTTTACTAACTCACTCATCCTTTTTTTCTTTTTCTTATTTCGAGTTCTTGAAAGTGTACATTATCCCACACCTTAATTAAGATAACCTCATTTGTAAGTTGGAAGTTACCATTTAATGTAATGAATAATAACAAAAGCTGTTTGATTTACACATACTGATTCTTTCCTGATTGATCAATCCTGGTTTGTATTGAAATTGTGACTGGGTGTCCGTTTATTTTACTTTACAGAGATATGTTCAAGATTTGTAGATTCGACTTAAAATGATAAATTAGGGAGTTATGTTATCCCGTCAGTGATCATAATGTTTTGTTGTTTAATTCATCTTGATCGATTTATTTGGAAACTTGTTTTTATTAGTACTAGCTTTCCATCTTTCCTATCGAACATCTATTGTCCTTATCTCTCTTCCTTTTTGTATGTTACTCTCTTGTAACTCATCTGTTCTTCGGCACTTATATGACCTTATTGTGTTGCAAGTGCCGTAATACACTTACTAAAACTACAAAACTTTATCATTAAAACTAAGTGCAAGGCTGAGGTTGACCCCGACCGACAGGGTAGAAGCAGCCCGCCACCTAGACGACCTGAGATGCCATAATGGGGGGGGGGGGGGGGGGGGGCGGTGTAGTAAAATGTTTTTCATTTTTTAAATGTTCTATAAAACATCTGTCATCTTTACATCTCTCCTACTGTGTTGAATTTGTTACTCTTTTATAACGCCTCTAGTCTTCAGCTCTTATAAGATGTAATTGTGTTGCAAGTGCCGTAAGACTTACTAAGTGGGTGGTTGGCGGGTGCTCTGGTGTGGTTTTCTTCTTCTTTCCTACCAAACATCTATCGTCCTTATCTCCCCTGCTTCTTTTTTATGTTTGTTTCTCTCTTATAACTCCTCTAATCTTCTGGCGCTCATATGACCTTATGCAGTTGCGAGCGCCCTTAGATCTATACTAAAAAAAAAAAAGCATGTAGATGTAGTAAAATGCATCATTGACAATCTGTTTCCCTCTCTCGCTCAGATCTTCGGAGCGTACTGCACCATGTTGTGGGGCTGATGGGGGCATGTAGTTATCATGTAGATGTAGTAAAATGAATGACTGACAATCTGTTTCCCTCTCTCGCTCAGATCTTCGGAGCGTACTGCACCACGGCCTGGTACACTCGCCACCAGGTCAACAAACCCAGCATGTCTTTCTTCGGGAAGGGAGAGGCGTTCGTGTTCAGCCTTCACCCGCGGTTCAAGAAGTACCAGTGGGTGGCGCTGACCGGCGGGAACCAGAACGCGCCGGATCTGTTTCAGGCCGGGGATGAGAACATGCTCATCATTGGCAGTGGGTGAGTGACGTGGCTCTTGTTCTTTGTGATTGTCTTTCCTTTTACACGCTCAGGACTGTGGATGAGAATATTCAAAGTGGCAATAAGAGTATTTATGAAAATGTTCATGTTTTTGTTGTTATTAGTATTATTATTATTACTATTGTTATTATTATTTTTATTAGTAGTATTATTATTATTATTAAGAGTAACACATATCTCACATAGTCTGCAATCGGGCAGCAGCTCCGGTCCTGGAAACTGAAAGTCAAGTGTGAGGCAGGTCCCGCAGGTGTTTATAATATATTTCTTCTGTGGTCAGATTTACGGGAGCGATTTTTTTCATCTTTAATTAAAGCTGTTTTGCCAAGCTCGTCGTGGAACATGTTACAGTTTACACAAAGCTTGTACGGGTATATAATATACAGTTTTCTGGGTATTCGAATTTAGTGTTATTCAAATTTTATTCTTAAGAGTGACACATAGTCTGAAAATGGACAGCAGCTCCGGTCCTTGGGAATTGAAAGTGAAATGTAAGGCCGGTCCCGTAGGTGTTTGTAATATATTTCTTCTGAGGTCAGATCTCCAGAAGAGATTTGTACAGGTATATAATATTCAGTTTTCTGGGTATTCGAATTTAATGGTGTTCAAATTTTCATCGTGTTCAAATTTTCATCATGTATTTTAGTTCTCGCAAGATTTCGACACAGCACTTGCAACATAGCTGTTGCTGCCCGTCTGTCTTACTTTTTCCCCTAGCACAAGATGACTGGTGTTGTGGCGAAGTGCTTCTTTCTACTCAAACAAACAAAAGAAAGCAACACAGAATTGTGTGTCATAGAAGTGTTGTTTCGTAATGTAGGAATTTATTGCCTTTGTTAAATGCAGCCCAAGCTCGTAAAGTATGGGTGCTACAGGCTGCCTTTTGGTGGCTAGATACATTGAAAGAGTTTCTAAATAAATCAGGTCGGCATAAACCGTAAAATTTAAACTCAGCCTTTAAAAAATATTTGTCAAGAGTTAAACCTCTAAAATATATTTGATTATAACGGTTTTCTCTGTTCAAATTGTATGATTTTCATGGAAGTCAAGTTTGTAGAAGAGAACTTTGAAATAACATCTCAAGATCAGTCTTGCAGTAATATTCTACTTCAAGATCTTTTTGAGATGTTACAAGGGGAGTGTTAGGATAATTTTTTTTAAAAATCCTAATTTATACTTCTTTCTGAAGCTAATCATGGTTTATTTTTTTTTATTTTTTTTGCCCAACAGTAACGGAGAGGCCATTTGTCTGGACCGAGAGCTGAATCGGTGCCGGTCCGTGCGCTGCGACACTTTTGACAACGATCCGTTATGTGAGGGAGGAGAGTTCAGGTAATAATAATAGTAGATAGCATTTGTGTAGTGCAAATCCCCGCTCAACAGCAAGCTCTATGGCTTCCCAATCTATACAGAAATCTTGTTGCCTTAAAAAATGAATGTTGCAACAATTTCGCTACCTGTAATGATTGATGCGCTTTTATTTATTATTTTTTTTTTTATGTTAGGATGATACAGCCCGCTTTTTTTTTTCTTTTTTTTTTTTTGATGTGTTGATGTTTAATTTTTTTTAAACCCCAAATTAGGTGTACTAATAGTTTGAAGTTTGAAGGTGCCTCTGGGAGATACGATTTCCTTCCTGTCTCTCCTTGTTCGTTTTTGTCTGTTTACCGTCTGCCAGTAAATTTTGTATGGGAGAATGTGTGTGTGTGTGTGTGTGGGTCTGGGAGTTGTGTGTGTGTGTGTTTATGTGTGTGTGTTTGTGTGTGTGGGTCTGGGAGTTGTGTGTGTGTGTGTTTATGTGTGTGTGGGTCTGGGAGTTGTGTGTGTGTTTTCTTTCTCTCTGACCGTGAAAGGGATTTCCTTTTCCTTTTTCTCTTCATATGCTGAAGTAAATCTTTCCTTTTCCTCTTTTCTATCCCTCCTGCAAATCTTTCCTTTTCCTCTTTTCTATCCCTCCTGCAAATCTTTCCTTTTCCTCTTCTCTATCCCTCCTGCAAATTTTTCCTTTTCCTCTTTTCTATCCCTCCTGCAAATCTTTCCTTTTCCTCTTTTCTATCCCTCCTGCAAATCTTTCCTTTTCCTCTTTTCTATCCCTCCTGCAAATCTTTCCTTTTCCTCTTTTCTATCCCTCCTGCAAATCTTTCCTTTTCCTCTTTTCTATCCCTCCTGCAAATCTTTCCTTTTCCTCTTTTCTATCCCTCCTGCAAATCTTTATTTTTCCTCCTTTGTTTCCCCCAGCCACAAAAACAAATCTTTCTCTTTTTCTCTTTTCTTTCCCTCCAGCAAATCTTCCTTTTCCCCTCTTTTCTTCCATGGAACTACAACAAGTAATATTTTTTTTTATTTTCTCCCCCACCATTTCTCTTTCCTTCCAGCTGCAAAGTGTTGGAGGTTTACGGGTTCGTGGACTGAGAACAGATGCTCATCAACCTGTCGCCATTCCAACTCGCGGATCTCTCCAAAGACTGGGTCAAGCAGTTTTTTTTGCCGGGGGGGGGGGTTTGGTCTTACGTGCCAGCGTAGTATTACTTACCGTTTCCTCGTTGTGTCTTTCATGTTGTGAGTGCTGTAGAAGAGTAGTCGAGGTAGTCCTCGCGTCTGATATGAGCGTAGATTTTTAGCGTTGCATCGAGTCGTCAATTCATCCATTGTCTCTTGTCGCTGTTCGAGGTGTGTGCACATGTGAAGTAGCTTTGTGTCGTCGTGGAAGGTTTCAGTATGCGATCACATGGCGTTGTCATTCGGCTTTGAAATATTCTTTTTGAGAACTTGCACTGTCTGCTCCCCATTTATTACCGTCGGTTATTTCCACATTTCACTTTTCTGGACGCGGCCTTGAAGTGCCAGCCTGTGTGTGCCCTATATAATACGACGAAATGATTTCTATTTTTAGATAAATTATTCTGGGTTTCAGCTGTGGTAACTGGCACTCCTGACCCGTAACTCGCCATCAAATATTAGCGTGTTGTCGTCATGTCATCCTTTCATTCAGGTGTGTGTCAACTCAACTCTCCATCCCTCATTCTGTATTGGCAACGAAAGGAGGACTCCGACAATCAGTTTGAAACAGATAGTCCTTTTTTTTTTCTTTTTTAAATTTTTGTTAATCTGAAAGGAAAATATGTTGCAACATGTGGCTGTGTCTGTCAGCAGTAGCCTGTGGGAAGGTTGAGAGCTGGTGCAAGTTTTTTCTTTGAAAGTTACAACAGCTTTTTCACCACAGTTTCATAAGATGAAGAAATTTTATTGCTTCAGTTACAAAAGGGGCTTTTGCTCTGGTCACTAAGGGTGCAGAAAGATGTGTGTTCAACACATCCATCAGCCTGATAGCCGTAATTTTTCGTATTTATTCTCTTCTGTGGATGCTCTCGCACTGGTCTCACCTTTCTTGGTATACTATGGAGATTACGCTGTGTTTGTGGATGAGAATGACTGAGTATTGAACGATGTCTGGGTGTGACGATTTCAGCTATGACAAGTGGTGATGTCCAAATGGTAGATTTATTCCAACGTGAAATGGCTGTTCCATGCAACTCCGTGTTTGTGTGTACTGGTACTAGTTGGCAGTTCGTCTGTTTGAGATGTTGTAGATATAAGTATTACGTGGGTCTGGACTGCTACAAGTTTTGCTCAATGTGCCTTTCTGTTCTTTCATTTTGCCAGGTTGATCCTTTCTTTGTTGTGGGGAATGTTCATCAGAGATTTGGTGTCTTGTTCAAATTTGCTGAAGATGTTGACGAGAGGGGGGGCTGTCTTTTTTTTTGGTAACGTAATGACACACAATGATAACGATGATCATAATGAATTGTGTTTATGTCGTGGTTTCACTAGAAGAGTTTTTTGTGTGGCTTGTACAACAAATTTGACTTTGACAATTTTTGAGTTTAACAACATGTTTAGCTTTTGGGAATGCAGTTCTTTCAATGTCTTGATAGCGACTCTGAATCATCATCATCATTGCCTTTCTCACCCTGCACCAGCAACTCTGAATAATCTGATGATTTTGATAGAGTAGATAGAACATTTGATTTCTGACGTCATGGTCTTAGCAACTCAAAACGGCCAAAAATGTCAGATAGAACTTCGTAATTCTAAGGTAGCGACTTTTTGGAAAAAGAAAGAGTACAACCCCCCTACATCTGATCCCAGGCCAACATGACACCTGTCTAGTCTCATCCACATCTTTCTTATGAATGAGCCAGTTTGCTCTTCGCTCAGTGCACCACCCAAAACATGAACTCCATTCTCCGGAGGGGATGTTTTGATTTATACTTTTTTGTGGGTTTTTTTTTCAAGTATCTCGCGTTTTTCTGTTGGGATGCTGTGTTCCTGTTGGACCAGGTTGTCCTGACTGGCTTGTTTGTTGAGGCAGCCCGCCTCCTTAATGATCTTAACTGTCCGTGTGTTAATGAGAGCGTAAATCAAAGTGTTGAGCTGTTTATTAACCCTATCCGTATGTTGTGTTTTACTATCGTATTGATACGACGTGGGGGAACTCTATGCCACCACTTTCGAAGACGAAATTTACTCGTTAATCCGATCCGTATGCTTTGCATAGCAGTCTGTCAAAATGATTTTTGGAGAAATACTGAAAGTTACAAAGAGATTTTCGTACTAGAAGTATTCTAAAATGTGAAGAATACAACCCCGGGGGTACAAAATGACCACAGGGCGTACAGATAGGGTTAATATTCGGCTCTGTTATCACAAGCTGTAAAAGTCTCTGTGTGAATTGTGCTGATGAAATGAGTTGCTTTTCAGATTTGAACCCCGTGGAAATAGATACATCACGCTTGTAGGTGAAGTTTGAACAATTTATAAGTATGAAATAACACAAGGCATGTTATGTTGCATCAACAGAAAATCTGTAAATTTGACCTTAGTGTCAATTTTTGGCCTATATCTCCTTTTGTGAATTGCGAGAAGTAACTCATTTTGTCAGCACAACACACGTATCTGCCTCTGTAACATTTTGCATTCCGAGCACTATGTGTGTTCTTCTCTTGCGTGTGTGTGTATTTTAATGTGTGTAGATTACGTGTGCCAAATGCGTGTTATGCACGCCCTAGATAAGCAAATACTGTTGTGTCATTGTGTCGTGAATCACAAGAGTCCGGAACGGTGGAGAACTCGTATGTATAGGGATCCACACGGTGTAGTGTGATATTTAAACATATAGGCTTCCTGGTTTTTTCTGAAAATCGATAATTTCATCGAGAGTTGATGAAATCGCTGGGCGCTAAACCCCTTAAATTAGTTCAGCTGGTATCGTGCTTGACAATGCGGTCACTGACCCTAGTTCGAATCCCCAATGAGGCTTTCTTGAACTTGATTTGTCAAGAGCATGATCACGTCTCTCTTTCACGAGAGGCAGAAATTGTTTTAGAGGCCGCTCCTCTTAAATGTCGATTGCATATATTATGGAAAGGGGGGGGAAATGCCCATCCTGTACCACATCGTACCCTGCTATACCATAATATAACTCTTCATATCTTGCCATACCATAGCTTGCTACGACTTACCACTTGGTACCATACCATACTGTACCATACCGTAACATATTATATTGCTCCACATTCCACGTCATACCGCTCCATAACATACAATACCGCACCATACCATACCGTATTATATATAGCATATGCAGAAAAAGAGTATAAGCAGCTATCTACCCTACAGGTGAGCAGTTTATTTGAAGGTCAGTTGACTTAAGAAAATGGCTAAGTGGCTAGTGCAATAACCTTTTTCTTGTGCATGGGATAATCAGAATTGTCTCTTCTCCTTCTTGGGAAGATTTTCTTTTAAATGTTCAGGGGGGTGCTGTTTCCTTCACAACTCGAAAGCCCGTCTCAGTGCAGTTTCACCATGAAACTTTGCTTGGCATTTCTGCGAGCCAGCAGCCAAACAGACTTTGGGGAAAAAAATGTTGATCCTGAAATATAAAAGAGTTTCTTTATTGGGATCCTATATTAAACATTGGCCTTTGGATGCATACACAGGATCACTACCGGTAGAAAAAAATGAATTATGGTCACCTCGCCTACAAATTGCTCATTTTAAGAAAGTGACATCACCCTGCCCCCAAATTTCAGTGTAAGCTTGTAGATTCCCTCCTGAGACCGTCAAGACGTTTTCACGTCAGTCTCGGAAAGTACTCACCCATCTGTCGGACCATATTTCAGAGACGTGCGCAAAAGTGTGAAAAAAGATCGGCTTTATTATGTTGTAGGTGTATGCTGTAAATCTTCTGTTATATTATATTTTGACCCACTTTAGGCTAATGTCAAAGACAACGTTTAGGAACCATAGTTAACAGTGACCTCCGTTAGTGGGCCTTTAGATTCTGTCGGTCGTATAACAAAGACCTGCATGCAAAGACCTGAGATGAATAAACGGAACGATTTATTTTTAACTTGTTTTAACATTGGCCAGACGAAAGTGAACAAGCTAATGTCAGTTGAGGTGAAAGTGGTGCCCCCCCCCCCCTCCCCTCTCCTGAGAATACCCCTCTCACTTTTATCTATTTCTCTGAATGTGTTTAAGCCTTTTGAGAGATGTGTGAACCAAGAATACCCCTCTCACTTATCTGTTTCTCTGAATGTGTTTAAGCCTTTTGAGAGATGTGTGCGGAAGTCTGTCTTTTTATACTTCTCATTTTTTTCATTAATTTTCATTTATATAATACCATCACTGCGACCAGCCAATAAAACGTGACGCATCCTTTCACAATGAGCGCCAAATGTGCTCGTGTCTAATAAATATAATGTAAATCTATAAGTTGAACTATAACCAGACAGTTGATGTAACAATTTAAGCCAACATTGTGCAACTTGCATGCATCTATAGAAACAATACTCAAAGTGTGAGGGTGACAAAACCCCGCCTCAGTCATGTACAAAATTAAATGCAGCACCAATGTAGTCAGGAGTGTATCACACAAATGTAAGAAGCGTGTAGAAATAATCAGGTTTGATTTTATCACACTGACCAATATCTTCCAGTATCAGGGGATGCCTTATTGGGTTTTTTTGGTGTTTTTTTTGTATGTGTGTATATTTTTGTCTTAAGTAATGAATTTGTTGTCTTGAAAACTTTAAGGGCATTTTTTGCTATGGGGTTTGTTGGATTTCTGTTGAGTTGATTTTTTTTTCCTTTGTTGTTGAAGTTTAATGCATGTGGGCTGCCTGGGGATTCTGTGGTCGGGACAGCGTGTCAGAGACGAGATGGGATAGCACTTAATGATATGATTCCTTTGTCCAGGTCGTGTGCTGGGTTTGGGTTGTGTGTTTGTCGACACCGGTTTCTTTCGTCAGATTCGAGGGAATGTTCTGTTGGTTTGTCTGTGATTTCTATTTTATGCTGTTACTTTCTGCTTTGTCTCATGACTCTCAGTTTGTTCTGGGATAAGTTTTGGTTGTCTCTCTATGTTTGTATTCAATTTTATTTTTTTTATTTACACCCTCGTACGCCTTTGGCTGTAGTAGATCATGGCATATTCAGGAATGTAAACTGTTTGCCTGTGTTTATTTATAGGCCTTCCATTCCATGTGTGTTTGAGCTTGAGTGTGGTAGTGTGTGTTTATCTGTGTGTACCGGTGTGACTTTTGTTTGGTTCTGGAATGTGGGTGGTTGGCGTGTGCTCTGGTGTGGTTCAGTGTGTGTATTTACTGCTTATTATTTTACGATCTTTGGTGGAAGAAAAATGAGCACCACTTCTCAGTGGCCACCAGGGGTGTTTACTTTATCTACTTTGTAAGTACCGACCACGACTGTCTATCCTTTAGTTGTTGTTGTTTTTGTTGTTTTGTTTTTGTTTTGTTTTCTATCTGAACAATGCACAGTCTTATTATCCTCATTCTTTCTTCAGCTCGTCATCTCTTTTTTTCTTTTTCTTTTTCCTATTTTTTCCCCCCATTTAGTCACTCTTCCCAAAGTGCACAGGTCGACCATTTTTGACTGCTCTTCCGAAGGATGGGAAAAAATAAGAATTTTGAAAGTGTCACTATCTAGAAAATGCGCAGTGCTTTACAGCTGTTGCCCTATGACTTATGTTTACGCAAGCGTGTATATTTTTAATGATATATATATATATATAAGTTCTAAGTGTATATTTTAGTCCTACTACTTAAATATTGTAAATGCCCGAGACACAAGTATTTATTCAGTCTGAAAGTCTTCGTGAGAGCACACACGTTTACTGGGCTAAGCACAATCAAATCAGTCAGAGAGCGTCAGTGGGTGGTTGGCGGGTGCTCTGGTGTGGTTTGCTTCTTCTTTCTTATCGGACATCTATCGTCCTGATCTCCCCTTCTTCTTTTTTTTATGTTTGTTACTCTCTTGTAACGCCTCTAATCTTCTGCTTTCATATGACTTTTTGCTGTTGCGAGCGCTCTAAAACTTCTACTAAAACTAAACTTCCCCATTGTTAAGAGAAAAAATCAAAATGGTCTTTCCCGCATGACATCATGCCAATCTCTATGTTGGTCCCTTAAAGAATGGAGACCCGGTATGTATACAGCATGCAGAAGGTCCTGAAGGGAGGGCTGAGGTGAACCTTTTCCGAAAAAGGCAGAATACTGTCAAGATGCTACCTTTTTGGCAGAGGCAGAAATAGGCGGAAATGAAACTGATCCACCGCAAGACTTTGTGGCATGTCAGGGAGTCTGGTGGTGGGTCACTTTCACTTTGGCTCATATCTGACTTTGGCCAAAATGGTACCATCTTGACGATATAAAGTTTTAGTTAGTTGTAGGAGGCTGCACTTAATTACTACTATTGTATCGATTTGCGTCTCTTTATTCTTGGTGCTCATATGGCCTTATGCAGTTGCGAGCGCAGTAAAACCCTGTACTATAATTTTTTTTTAATCTCTTTACTCAAACAAACAAACTTACAAAGGGAAGAGTACACACCGTAAAAGAAATGTTATTATTGTGATAAAAATATGAATGAATGTCTGTGAATCTTGTACTAGAGGAAAGTGTAGCTGCTCTGAAATGAATACATCTTCTGTTTTCTGTTCAGTTTGTATTCTTTTTTTTTTTTGTCTACACCCCACCCCCCACCCCCCCACCCCCTACCTTCACCCCCCACGAGGTAGAGCACGACTT